GAGACCGGAGTTCTCGCGCGACACTGAATTTGTTATTAAAAATGATAGCCTACAAATTGTCTGTGCTCTGATTTGTAGCGAAAATGGAAAAAAATAATAAACAGTTTATGCAGGAAATGGTTGGGAAGACGAGGGGGGCAAGGACTGTGTTTTGCAAAGAGAGGAGGGGTAAATAAATAATTTTGCAAATGTCCTGCTGTTGCTGCTGGTCATGCAAATGTTTGTGCTTTGTTTCTGTTTGATATAATTGTAAATATAGGCCTATCTATTAAAATACTGATATTCTGGTCTATAACTCCTCCTCCTCCTTCCTGTATCTTGCTCTCTCGTTGGCTGTCGGTCATCGCCGATGTAGTTTTCAGTCAGAACACATTCACACAGCAGGATTGTGAATCGCCGACAGGTCCAGATATTTAGCATGCCAAATATCTCACGGGCGTCGGCGACTCGTCGGCGATTCTCTCAGATCGTGTCTTTGCTCATTCACACTGCGTGATTGTCACTCGCGTGAACGAGCACCGATTTGCCTGTGATTTCGGGCATTTGTCGGCGATTTCTCAAAACCTGTCGCCGAGCCAAAATCGGGGCTAAAATCGTGCAGTCTGAACTCGACATTAGTTTCAGTAGTCGTGTCAAAGCAATAACTAAATCAGCATACTTTCATCTCAAAAATATTGCAAGAATTAGATTCTTTGTTTCCAGACAAGACTTAGAAAAACTTGTTTCTGCTTTTGTCACACAGGTCGAGGGGAGGAATGCTCGGATGACCAACCGCCCCCCCCCTCTCTTACTGAGTCACCACCGTGGGGAGCCGACGCCACAGGCACACAACAGAGGACTACGGAGACACAGGTAAGTTTCAAAGGAGGAACAATCTTTATTGAACGATAAAACAAGGGGCATCAATTGGATGGCCTTCACTGTCCTCTAGATATCCTTCTGTCACGGGCGGGCGTGTTGCAACTGTCACGGTGTCCCCTGGGCGGCAATTTGGGGACTCCCTTCACAGGGGGGCGAGCCAGCGAATCACTAGACGGCTTCACCAGCGATGCTGCATGCTTCTGGACTCAAACAGTAAGTAGAACAGGTAAGGATATTCACAGTACCGAGAACTCTCATCGGCACACCGTAATGGAACAATGGTTTGAAAGCTTACTTTTTCCCAGCAGTGCTGCAGACTTCCGAACTAGGGCAATAAGTATAGCAGGTAAGGACTCTTCACAGCGCACGGTACTCTTCGGTCCACAGGAGGAAGACAGTGAGTTAAAGGTTTGCTTCGCCCATGATGCTGCGTCCTTCTGGACTCAAACGGTAAGTAGAACAGGTGAGGATCTTCACAATACAATATACTCTCTTCAATGTACAGCAGGAAGACAATGGATTAAACAGGGTACTTTACCAGTGATGCTGTCCCCACTAACACAGAACGTTTAGGGAACGTTAGGGAACGTTAGTTTATGGTTCTCTAAAGGTTAGTTTGAACCAAACCAAAAACTAACGTTTAGGGAACGTTCCCTCAGGGTTATAACGTTCCCTAAACGTTAAGGGAACCAACCAACTAAAACGTTCTCCTGTGGTTGCACTATACCTCCACACAACGTTCCCGTTTGGTTGTTTTTGGTTGTTCTGTGTGCGGTTTTGAAATGTTTAAACCAGCTCCATTTAATGACGTAGCATAGAAGGTTTGCAGTCACTTGATTTAGATTCACTCAAAAAGGATTGGTCTTATGAAATATAAGTAAGATAAACCGCATAGCAAGAGAATATATTTATTTTTAGGCTGATAATAAATGCAGCTAAAAACAATACTTTTTTGCTTGATTTTGTTTTTTTTAACTGTATTAGTTAAAAATACTTAAAACAAGAATCTATCAATAGAACGATTTTTACAACTAAGAAAATTCACTTATTTAATTTCACATTTCACTTCGAACAAGTGGCTCAGTTCGGTGTACAAATCCAACTGTTACACCCCCACACCAGTAGGGGGAAGTGCCTCTGCTTTCAGGTGACCGATTGAAGTCCTGTACTGACTTCCGTGTTGAAAGTCCTTCTGGATCGATACACAGAACTTGCCTGGGAACCCGTCTTCTTTCAGGTAAATGGACGCTCGAGATAAATTGGTGTGTTTGAGCACAGGTATATTAGCCCTAAACGTTATAGACACGTTTTAGTTAGTGCTAGCTCCCAGCTTAACTGACCAGTTCATGTAGCCTAGTACAAGCCACCTTGTGTAGTTACATTTTTTAATTCTGAATTCTGAGTCTGTTTATAGAAATACACACGTGGCACTCACACTGTTTGTGAGTTTCATGTAGGATTAAACAAATAATAATAGTTCGGTAAAATATTTTTATAATAGTTTTCTGCTATCACTGTTAGAATACATTCAGAACTTGTTTCATTTATTCCTGTACCGTTGGCATCCCTGTGCCGTCGAGCAAATAAGGGTGTGTGATGTTACACACGGTAGCATTATACTTTTACGTTTAAACAGTAAATAAAAATAAATAAAAAAAACCTATCTAATGGTTAAGTGCAGGAAAGAGATAAAAAAAACACTATACGTGGGTAGTACTGTGTCGGAGAGAGCAACACACTCCATTTTAGTTTAAAATTACCCTCTAAAATGCTGATTGGCTAGGTTGCCTGACGTCAAGGCGTGTGACGCAACACGGACATTCCTGATTGGCTGGGAGAAATGGATAAGTCTACGTAGAACCCCGTTCACTATCAGGAAGTCTTGGAAAAACGACCTACACAGCTTCACATTCTCACGAAAAAGTAAGTGAAATACGCTACAGTTTCATGATGTTGTGGTTGTAATGCAAGTGTTTGGGGTTTATCCTTAAGCCCTTTCCCTCGTAGGGCTTTGTTATATTCCGGCACAGCGCATGCTCATATGACTGGTTTGGGTCCTGTAGCTGTAATAATGGATATAGCTCCAGCTAAATGGCTGTAATTCATATATATATATATATATATATATATATATGTGTGTAATGCATATATTGGGCTTTGTTTGAGTCTTTGTATGCGGCTGTGCACGACGTGTATGCTTTGCCGCATTGTATGTTTTGTATCATCATGTTAACCTGCTTGCGTTCTTGTTACAAATAAGATATACCGGTTCTTTTAATTAATTAACATTTCTATGGCTGCTGTGTCTCCCCATTAGAAAGTCTCTGGGCTACGACGCCCATGGACAAACCTATGGATGAGACCAGTGACTCCTGCAGCGAGGAACACCGCCCACAAGGTTCACTCAGGTACTTCTGGGCCAAATATACAGTCAAGAAAATCTGGCTCAGTACAGGTGACCTATTGCTGTTATACTATATATAAATAAATAATAGTTTTCTCTGTATGGAAATACTGCTTTGTTCTGCTACTGGCTCTCAAAAAAGTACAGAAGGAATTATTTACACCATTCAAATTTTATTTTTGTAATCTGTACAAATTGTTTAGTCTTTTATTTCAGATTAAACTGTTCCACAAGCAAGAAAGCATTCCAGGACAGAGTGTGTGTCTGGAAGCCCTGTCCGTAAGTTAACATTTATGCATGCATTTAAAGGGTCACTCCACCCATTTCAACATTAATCTTTATTGAAAGTGGGTTATATATGTAGTCGAAATGTAAAAGAAATTTTGAATTTGGTGCCCTCTTGACCGAGAAAAGACAGAAAATAACTTTAGGGCGCATTTGTATGTAAGACAACAACTCCCACAATGCACCACGTTGCACAGCTCCGCAAGCCACTCCCACTAATCCAGAACAGCGCAAACATCAGAGAAATCACTCTTCCGTCTACAAGAAGGCTAGCTGCTAAATGAGTTTGAAATTCATTTCACAAAAAATGTCTAGTTAGTTGGCTGTGGCGAGCAGGACGAGGGCGAGGGACGTGAGAGGACGACGCGAGTGATAATGAATGGCACCTGTGCAGCGGTCTCATATCTCTCACGGAGGAGCGGAAGCATAAAAGGAACAGGCCTGATTTTATGTTTTGTTTCTGTTGTGTGTGGCCAGCTGGCTTATACTTTTGTTTTGTATTTGTTTATTTTACTATTAAAATGTTTAAATGTTCGCCGGTTCCAGCCTCCTTCTTCCCACAACAACGAACCCCGTTACATTGGCAAACTCATTAGTGAATTACTCGTTTGTATTTCTTTCTATATGGTGAATTATTGCATGATACCTGGATTTTCAGTCAGGCGAAACTAGGATGGTTCACATCACAACACAAACGTCCGTGTGGTCGTCTGATTCAGAGATTTCGTCTAGGAGAAATTGCGATCGTTGAAATTCTTTGCAGCAGACGGACTCTATCTGTGTCCGTAGCGCACAGCGAGAGCACACGCACCAGCAGCCCGCCTCAGCTCGACCCAGTCCGGGCTCCTCGTTCGCGACAGGCAGCCGCCTCCTGATCCTCCATCAGCCTCAGCTGCTCTTCACTATATTGCGGCTCGTAAAGATAGCCACGAAGAGCGGATTCGAGCAGCAGAATTTCAAAATCCTCTACTTCCATATCATGTTTAGTTTCTTCCGTCATTGTCGTAACTTCCTATCTCCACAGCGCTTGTTAGCTTAGCTTATAAACAAGATGGCTGATATTGCTTTCAGTATCTGCAAGTGAAGTCCCACCCACTGATCTGTGATAGCTCTGTTAGCGCATTAGGCACAACCCCCTATGGGCGGGTTTGAAAGGGTGGGAATTTGTGCTTGTAGTCTATACAGAAATCCCCCCTTTTTACACTTCCTCCTACAATGACGTCAAATGACGATTTTTGCGTCATTGTAGGAGGAAGTGAAAAAGGTAAATAGTAGATTTCTCTCGTCTCAGGGGAAAATGAAAGAATGTTGCACGACCATTCAATAGTATGACTGGTTGTCTAACAATGGACCTCTTAATGCAAATGGGTGGAGTGACCCTTTAAGAAACCAGAGTCATATTTCCTACCATGGAACTACTGAGTACTGACATTCAACCTTGTGCATATCATGTGACTGTTCTGATGTGTTTGTCTCTTCCTGCCTTTTTTCAGGTCTGCAGATGCCTCCACCACCTGCATGTAAGTTGTTGTTTTTTGGCCATGTGCAAGAAACCTGACATAAATGAACTGACCAATATTCATATCCACTTTCTTTTTAGATGAGTCAACACCACACAGAAAACCAGCCAGTCACCCAGAATTGAATGGGTCTATTGTGACGCAAGCTCAGCCTGAAGGTACAGTGGCTTTCAATTTTCCATTTCCAATTAAATACAATTTCATGACAAGGAACTTGAGAGTAACTTGACTTTTATTGTTGTAAACAGCAGAACTCATCACACAGAGGGAGGTGGCTCAGCCATGGAGATGGAAAAGAGAGGTAAGAAGACTCACTTAAGTTGTTCACATATGCAAGTATATAATGTATAACTAAAACTAACACCAATAATTTTTCCATAGCCGTGAGGACATCCATTACCCGCATGACACAGCAGATGGACGCATTTGAGGAGAAGATGGAGCAGAAGATGGATGAGCTGCTCATGCTCTTAAGGAGCTCCCAGTCACCTCCCTCTGCTCCAGTCGATGACATGTTGCTGTCGCCCTGCTCAACAGTCACTGAGCTGGAGGAGTTCGACAGGAGTCTCGGTCAACAGGAGAGGAGGGACAACATGGTAATTAAGTGGCCATATTCTTGCCCTAAGATTAACACTATATAATTGCATAACTTCAAATATCATTATAACTGAACTGACGGCTCTTACAAAATGAGATTGTACAAGCTCTCCACTTTGTTCTACATGTATAATTTGTATTTCTATACGTTTTACAGCAACTTTTCCTGACAACCCTTGGAGGTTCGACCAGAGGTACTGCCATCCGTCGCATGCTACGGCGAGTGGCAACCAATGACGTGCTAAAACAGTATAGTCTGCGGGGCAGAAAGGCAAAGAAGGCCTTCCAGGACCTGACAATCTGCAGGGTTATAACAGGCAGGTGATATTTTATTGTTCACATCAGTATTATGCTCAGCTTGGAGGTTTTAATTTGACTTGTAACTATGCTTCATTTTGACTTCTACTCTAGCGGCCTCCCAGAAAAAGGTCCCCGCGCTGACTGTAGCAGACGCGGAGGACTTGATTGGGCAAGTGCTAAAGTTTGCCCCACACAGACGGTAAATTGAAATTCTTCTATGTGATGTTCATAATAATCAATGGAATGGGAAAACTATCAATATTTGTGATCATTCTTAGTATGACTTATCAAACTTTTGTTTCTTTCTTTTTAGGCCAGCTGAGAAGGACTGAACCTTCAATCAAAACCATGGATCTCTTTTTTTAAAATATTTTTTGCAATTGAATTTGACACTTTGACCATTCACCTACACATTATATACTTTATCATCCCAATATGCATCTTGCACACTACATTTGTACTATATATACTTTATCATCCCAATATGCATCTTGCATTTTACATTACATTTACATTTATTCATTTAGCTGACGCTTTTATCCAAAGCGACTTACAATTGCTATACATGTCAGAGGTCGCACGCCTCTGGAGCAACTAGGGGTTAAGTGTCTTGCTCCGGGACACATTGGTGTCTCACAGTGGATTCGAACCCGGGTCTCTCACACCAAAGGCATGTGTCTTATCCACTGCGCCATCACCACCCCCATCACCCCCTCTTGCACACTACATTTGTACTATATATACTTTATCATTCCAATATGCATGTTGCACTACATTTGCACTATTACTTTGCACACTTCATCCCACTCCATTAGTACTTGTATTGATATGTCTTATTTGTATAGTTGTATTGATATGTCTTATTTGTATAGTTGTATACTAAAACTGATTATAATTCTTGTTGTATTTATTTTTTTAGGCCTTTTATAATTTTTGTATTTTGTTAATTTTATATTGTATATTAAAGTTTTAAGTCCCATCAAGTTTGCCTATTCATTCCTGCTAATATATAATAATTAATTCCTGCTCATGCACAGTTTAAAGTAATAATAAAATTGGTATCATTGTTAAAGTTTTTTAAAGGTTAGGGGAATGTAAAAAAGAACGTTAGGGGAACGTTCCCTAAAGGTTGCAATGTAACCAAAAACGAACGTTCCCTGAACGTTAAGAAAACTTTCCATGGGAACCAAAACCTAACCTTAAAGGGAACCTTAAGGGAACGTTCCTGCAACCAAAAACTAACGTTCCCAGAACGTTCTGGGAACCATAAATTGTTAGCTGGGGTATACCTCTGGACTCGGACAGTAAGTAGAACAGGTAAGGCTCCTCACAGTACACGGTACTCTCTTCAGCTCGCAGTAAGGAGACAGTGAATTAAAAGGTTGCTTCCCAAATGATGCAGTGTACTTCTGGACTCAACAGTAAGTAGAACAGGTAAGGCTCCTCACAGTACACAGTACTCTCTTCAGCTCGCAGTAAGGAGACAGTGAATTAAAAGGTTGCTTCCCAAATGATGCAGTGTACTTCTGGACTCAACAGTAAGTGGAGCAGGTAAGGATCTTCGCAGTACAACGTACTCTCTTCGGTACACAGCAGGAAGACAATGAATTAAAATGGTACGTTACCAGTGATGCTGTAGGCTTCTGGGCTCAAACAGTAAGTAGAACGGGTAAAAATCTTCACAGTACAATGTACTCTCTTCAGTGCACAGTAAGGAGACAATGGGTTAAAAAGGGTACGTTACCAGTGATGCTGCATGCCTCTGAACTCAACAGTAAGTGGAACAGGTAAGGATCTGCACAGTGCTCTCTTCAATTCACAGTGAGGAGACAGTGGGTTAAAAGATCGTTTCTCCAGTGATGCAGTAGGTTTCTGGGCTCAAAACAGTAAATAACAATTAAGGACCTTCACAGTACAGAGTACCCTCTTCAGTGCAGCTGTATCACACTGGACTTCCAATGGGGAGCAGATATAGTAACTTTCCACAAACGTGTAAATGGGGCTAGGGCCACTTCTCAGCAAAGGCACAGCACACTTGTGTTCACTTCAATTCCACAGCCACAAATCAATGTGTATCAATAAGGCAAAAGCACTGCAGTTCACTCACACATTAAGGCTGGTCAGAGGCCCCACTCCGTTTGTTGCGCTCGCTCCACGAGGGATTTCTCTCTCAATTCCTCCTCAACACACTCTGAAACACATAGCTCTTCCGACAATCAGATCCACATTTACTGCATCCTCTTCCAGCAATTTGAACGCTCACAAGATGAAATCAGTTCACTTATCTCTTCTCTCTCCTTCCACAGCACCAATCCAGACGATAGCTCAGTCCAGCAGACTTCCCACAAACGATCACTCTGATCCAGCAAACTCAACTGGGCGATCTCCACACCACAACGGTTTTCCTGAGGAAGCTTGTATCCAACTCTGCTCCAAGTCAACCCTTTAGGCTCTTCAACACTTCCAACTCACTGAGCAACGCGGACCCACTGAACAACGAGAACCCACTGAACATCAACGACCAACACTCTCTGAATGGTCCCTTTTTATCCTGGCTTGCGTAACAGGAAGCCTGTGTGAGCACCGCTTCTCTCTCTCTCACACCTGCAATGCATTAGCGCTAATCAGTGCGGGCATGTTTACGGCTGCGTTCCAAACCGCATACTCAATGAGTAGGTACTTAATTTCAATGAGTACTTACTTAACGAGCGCTAAAAGAGTAGGTACTTTATAGCCAAATCTCGTTGAGTATGAATCGATCCGGACATCATCCGCCATGTTGACGTTATCATGTGACCTACGACGCGTTATCACAAGCCAACTTAAAAGATGAACGACACGTTTAATTCATCTATCAGTAAATATCTTGATATTGATGAAACTTGCTCATTTTGTGGTATTGTTGAAGAAACAGCTGCCAATTTATTTTGTGAATACATTTAGGGTTGATTTAAGTTGTTATATTTTAAACCCTACTAATGTGACCCACAGTTTTATCCTTATAACGATATATTTTTTTTAAGAAACCCCAAAATCGTCATCTCTTGAATATGTTGTTAATTTCTTTATTTTATACCCAAAAAGTTTCTCCTTTAAGTTTTCCTCTTTTCTTGATGAATTTACCTCTCGTTTCATCCCTCAGACTTATAACAACAAAACAATTTTTAATGTATTATGAAGAACTATTTAAAGATATTTAGCATTGTTCTTTTTTCCTGTGTATAAATATCATATTATGATGTACACAAACCAATGATCTTTATGTTTTCTGTTTTGTCATTATGATTGTTCATTGTTAGATACATACAACTATGGTATCTTTCCATGATCTTTATGTAATAAGTTTATAAGTTTAAATTATATGAGCGACAGGTGCACTAACACTTCATAACATCAGTAACTCGACAGCACAACCTAGAACAGTTTTCCTCAGCGTTTGTAATGTCTGCACAAGGAGACGGGCGGCTGCTCGAAGATCTCTCCTTTGGAGAAAACTGTTGACTTTATACTCGAAAAATGTAAGTATCGCTCCTTAAAAATTAATATTATCTCAGAATGAATTGCATTGTTAGCCCACCCCAAAACTTAAACAAAATAATATTAAATGCTGACCAATACTTAATTATATTACTTTTTTATATACTAAAAATGATATAATTTAATAAAACAAGCAAAATGTAATTTGTTTTGTCATATGAGTTATGCATGAATACACGTGAACATCTCAATTGTCAGTCAAGCAATGAATTAATGCATACATTAAATAATTATATTTTATATACTGACAACAATAAGAAACATGAATAAATGAGTAAAAGAACAAATAAAAGTAACCATCACACAATAAACAAATGCATATACAATTCAACAACACATGAAACAAATCTTTATTCAAACTACAAGCATGTATTTACAGGCGCTGAACCCCACATACTGCCATCTCAACACAGCGGTTCCCATTCTGCGGCTTTACTCTGATGAATTCACCAGAGGTGACCGTGCCTTCGTGCCGGAGCTTGTTGCTGCTCTGCGCTTCACAATCTGAGGCGATAAGGGCAGATGGAGAGATGGAGCGTCTCATCCATGGCACCGTTTCCAGGATTCAGCTCTGGGCTCCTCATCCTCAGTGCTCACACCAGTCTGAATAAAAACATGTTTAGTTACTTTATAGATTTGTTTATTTACCTTATTTACAGCACATTTGTCTAATGTCAACAGTGTTGACAACAGTGAATTAACGTTATCCTATAATAATGCCACACATACATCAGATGTATTTTTCATGTTGTGATGTGCTCATCTGCAATATGTCAATACTTGCAATATTGTCCTTTCAGGTCTAAATAGACATGTTAAATAAGCGGGTTTAAGATGTATATGGTTATGT